GATCTGGCCTTCTAAAGAGCAGTCAGGGTTGCTCTTCTCTAGGACTGACCGGTTTGATTGCCTTGCAGTCCAAGGGACTCGCAGGAACAGCACCATAGTTCAAAGATCGGAATCTCAGTTGCAAACACACTATTATCGGTGTGTTCTGGATTCAGTTCAAGGTGCTGGTGGTTACCTATAAAGCCTTATATACTGTAGGTAATCACCAGCACCTTGAATTGAACCCAGAAACACACTGATAATGGTAATACTGTCTTTAAATCATGTTTTACAACTGGATGAATTGCATCAAGGAGCCTTTCAGATAATTTGTTTTCTCCCATGAATGTTCAGAAGACATCCATGCCTTGCCAAAGCTTCTCCTAGGAGATCAGGATCCATGACAACAATTAAGAACTGGGTATCAGAAAAAAATAGTGGGTGGCTAAAAAAGAGGCAGAAGACTTGAGCTCCTTCTTTAGACCAGAAGCCTTTGGATGAACAATTCTGCACTGAGTAGTGTGTGTAGTGAGGGTAGAGCAGGGAAAGCAAGCAAATGTGGATATAATTCAAAATCTAAAAATAAGGGGCTAAGGAAAAATATTTGAATATTGAGACATTATATAAATAACTTTTATTCACTCTGTTTAAAAAAAATCTTAGCTTTGTAAATAAAGTTAAGGCTAAAACTTTCAGTTACCAGATCTGCGCTGCCAAACAAGTTCTGTTGGTAATCTGGGTATTTTTGCAAGCCAGATCTGGTAAACCTATTAAAGCCAAAGATAAAGGCGAATGGGAAAACTCATCCCAGCAGCCTTCCACAAACTGCTATCTGCATAGACCGCTAAAATAGAAAACTGGGTTTGATTGTTGTTTTAGTTCTTGGACTGTTCACAAGAAACTGCCTACCAGACAGTCAGGCAACAGTGTCAGGACACAGTTGTCAAACTTCACCGCAGAACTGATGAGGTGTCTGTTTTGTGATGGCGTGATGGCGGTCTAAAGGAAGATAAACATACCAGCAACATGCCTTTCATGGGCATCAATGTCTATTGAAAATATTCCCCTACCCACATATTTTTTCCAGGACAATGCTGGCATCCATTATGATAATCTCACCCTAAGAATTATTTCACAAAACTCAAACAACAGAGGTAAAGAAATGAAACTTATTTCCCCTTCCAAATCCTTTCTCCTGCAATAATAGGCAGTAAAATTTCTTTTTCATACCCTACATAAAAAAGATGACAAAAGTGAGCAGATAGGAAAAATTTCTCATATGTCTCTAAGAATGCATATACATGGGAAACAATAAACCTATTATGGCAAACTTATGCATGTGGGCTTCAAAGGTTTGTGGGAGGAGAATCAGTGGTGGGTTCCTACCGGTTCGGGCCAGTTCGGCCAAACCGGTAGTGGTATGGCGGCCTAGGTTGCTGGAACCCTCAGTGATCCAGGCCTTCCACGCCCCCAAACCAGTTCCCCAGTTTCTTCTGCCGTCAGCATGTTTCTGCGCATGTACAGAACAGTTTTCAGTCAACTGCGCATGCGCAGCAATGTGCGGTGGCCGCACGGACAAGCAAAGCGAGCAAAACTCCTTCTCAATGAACTGGTAGTAAACCCACCACTGAGGATAATCTATCGTCGCCAAAAATCCTACCTCTTTTTTGCCATTTCAACCATTTCATGAAGGCAACTGTAGTCCGCAAAAGGAAATGCCTTTTAATAAAACCCAATAAATGCTATCATTCCTTCTAATTTAGCACTTCCAAAGTGATCACAGTGCATCTTCTGGGTTAGTATTATATTTCACGTGGCAGGTTTGCGATCAGAAAAGCAAATAAATAAAAATGTATTGGTGTAACTGGGTAGGGTTTTTTATATTAAATTGATTGAAAATGTACAAAATTGGGTGACTGATTCAGGGTATATTCATTTCAAAGGGAAACATTGTGATAAGACTGCCCTCTCCTGGACCTTCGAGATAGTGGCAAGGACTTAATTATGTCACTTGCATTTGGTTTATATGTAATGTTGGTGAATAAAATTTTGGGATTTCAGAGAGCTGTTCCTACATTTCTTTTAATTATAAAGCGATTACAACTTAATTTTAAGTAACCTGTAAGTGCCATAAGATAATTGCTGGCTACATATTGTTGGGAATTCTAATGGACTAAATAATATATTTTCTTCTTGTGAAAAGTAAACATGAATGTAAATGAATACAGTAACAATGAATGGATAATATTTTTACTTAATAAGCATCTGGATTTCTTTGCTCTCTTTGTATGAAACATAGATTAAGTAGACATTCATCTTGCATCAGTCAGCACATTTGTTTGGCATCCATATTTCTAAATCCTCATTTTCTTGCCTTCTTTATTGCTAGTAACATATAAGTCTATTTGTTCATTATACCTTGGCGTATGAACCCAACACTGATAATATCCAATCTAATTGTTTATTGCAATAAGATTTAAAGAAAAAAAGATGCCCTTCCAAAGTAGGAATTTCATCTACTTACCATAATTCTGCATTTTATATTTTCAGGGCTTCGTCTACTACCAGAGATAACAGGAAAGAAACTTGAAAAACAATATTTATTTTTTAATCTTTTGATGAGGTCCTCTACAGTTATAACTACTGTTTTCATTCTCTGGTTCTCTGGTGAAATACAATAGACATGTTACACAATTATTTTAACCATATGCGTTGGATCTAAAGTATTATTATTCCCTCCCCCTCCTGAATTCTTCTGTAGGACTTAGGAATCTGCAACCACTTTTGAGACCACATACTTAATGTCTCACATTTCTGTAGGTAAATATCCTCATGCTGGATATCAGGAGAATCTTTAGTCCACTTAATATTTTTCAAAGGGGAATGACAAACACTAAAAGTGAAGTCAATTTTATAGAAAGGTTGTTCTTCAAACAGCTATGACATATCACTACTTTCTCTTCACTTTAAAACATAAAAAGATACGCCTTTACATAATAACAAACTGAAAACTATTAAAATTATGATAACAAGATAACAAACTATCCTAGGAGTTGAATTATGAACTGCACATTTTCTACTTTTCAGCCACAGTTAAATCTAGTGTGTTATAAACCAAGATGTTATCAGTCTGAAATTGGAAATCCCACAATATTTTAACCTGCTCATTTTACTACTTTTCAGCTATATGAAAATTATTCCTGCCAATTGAAACAGAGATAAAGAAAGAAATGATTTTACAATTTTAGACTATCTCCTGGTGTCCTTTTATTTAAATAAACATTTACAATTTTTTAACAATTAACAGAAAGACAGAAATTTTGGAATAGGGAGCCTGGCCAGCACCAATGGAGACAACGTGCATACAGCTGAGTACCCTGTTAAACCCAGATTTTATTTACTCTATATATCTTTTCTTTTACTGGCATTTTCCATTACATTCTCTCTTAATATGAGACAAAATGAAATTCAGTAACTCTTCAGGTACTAAGCCAATTTGTTTTACTCTTAAATTGTTGATAAATTAATACTGAAGTCCAGTTCAAAAAAAGCTTTTTATACTGTGACACAAAAGCCAATAGAGCTATTTCTGACGCTATTCCAACCTTATCCTTCAGCAAGATATTTGAACTGTTTAAATTGCAAAACTCTGTTCTTTTGTCCTTCAGGTTTGCATCTTCTAAGCATATTATGTGTTTTAGTATACAAAGATATTGCCTACCAAGTCTGAATCAAGTTTTGGCAGCACCTTTTGATGTAGAATGCCTTTGAAGTAAAACACCTTTTCATTTCAATCCAGGTTTATCTTCTGGAATATCTAGAAAAGTTTTTGTTTTCTAACTCTATCATTATCTGCTTTCAATTATGTTAGATCCGAGCAATTGATATTTTAAAAAATTTAATAGCTCTAAGGCATATGACATACCAATTTTAGGAACTGAATGGTAAGAAATAGAAAATTGGAAACTGCAAACTGAGAAGTCCAACAGTTATACTTTATACATATAAGGAATAATCTGTTACTATTAGAGCTAAAAATGATATAGTAATGAATAGCTGCATTGTACAAAACAATTCTAGATTGAGAGCTGATTATTTACCAATTTTTTACCTTTTATGTGAAAATTTAGCTATTGGCATATTACAGCATAAGAAAATGCCCTTGAAACAGAGATATTACATTTTAATTAAAGAATTAATCACATATAAGTTCTCTCCAGTTTAATATTTTTTGTATAAATAATCCTTGCCCTAATATTAAACCTGTCTTTTAAAAATCTGAATATCACCACAGTTTACACACTAGTAAATTGCAACTTTTAGGTCTGTTGGGAAATTGATGTACTCAAATAATTTCATGAAGCTGAAAATAAGGGGAGTTGACAGGGTAATAAAATATAATATTTCACCATTGATGTTCTAAACCACTAGAAAACACAGCTACATTATTTTAAAATACAAGTTAATTAAATGTGGGCTAAGCATGCCAAGTTTTCAACAATGCGAAAGTCCAGCTTAAGCATATTTTTCTATTCCTTTCCTATCATAAAAAAGGTACAGTGTCAACAAGTATACAAAGATTGGTTCAATTAATTTCAGATGAAGAATACTCTTCCTTGTTAATGAATTGAAACCTTTTTTCATTCAGAGTGTATATATGTTACATCTGGGTTCTTTCATCCAGTCCTTGAAGACATTTTGGTAAAAATAAAACTTCTATGTTTATGCAATTCTTATAGATATATGTATTTGTTATATATTACTCACATATAACAAATATTGTAATTAGAATAGCCACTATTGAGCCAACAGTAGGTATGACAAATCCCATTTCATGATACAGGTCTCCAGACATATTCATTCAATCTTCAATCGTCACTGATTCACTCCAATTCAAAATTATTCCTGTTCTATATTATATTTCCATTACTAGCAATGTGATAAATATCTTGGAGGTTTGTCCAATCAGTCCAGGATTGTGGTGAGTATACTCTGAATATCTCCTTATGCCATCTTTGCCATTTTGCAAAAATGGTATCAGTTTCTTTTTTACAACCCCTACCCATAATTAGTAATCCTGGCTACTTGGCTAAGTGAATATTTGGCAGATTATGCTGTCTTGATTGTATGTCATCATATATGAACGGTGTGGGGGCCTAGTAGTGAAGATGTTTGCCTCCCACTCAAAAGTTTAAGATTTCAATCCTAGGTAGCAACAGATGTATCCCTCTCAAGGCGCAAAGGGAAAATATCTACTGCAAACTCCATATAGCCATCAGGAAGGGCATCTAGCCAATAAACATTCAGCTCCATTCAGTTAACCCAACCCTATCCCGAATTTACAGTGTTGTAAAAAGAAAAAAAATGTATGTCAACATATATAAGTTGAGATAGTGAAAGATGGCTTCTTCTTCTAAGCAGTAGAGTTCTCACAAGCATTGTTCCATAAGCTTGGATATTGAGCCAATGTATCACAATGTAAATGTTTTGGCCCTTTTTTAAAAGTTTGATGGAAAATCCGATATGACCTTCCAAGCTTGACGTCTATTCATCAGTAGTGAGTTTACAGAAACTGTAGTTTGATTCTCCTCCTTTATGTACAGCAAACGTTTACTGAATGCAGGTAGGAAAACAGAAGAAGAATAGCCAGATTCCACTTTTCAAGATAACTTGATTATGTTCATCAAGGGTTATTCACTGTTTTCATCTTTGTCAGAAGATGCAGGGCTATCCCGAGGAGGCAGCAGGTCATAGTGGCAAGGAATGTGGCTGTTTTTTGGTAAATCATAAAGATCTTGGCTGATGGGTCCATTATTACTTAAATTGCCTTGGACAACACTAACTGTTGGTTCTGCAATTTTAAAAAATGTATGCGTTATTACTCTGATATTGTGAGAAAGAATCATAAAGTTTAATCAAAATTAATGAATTCATTCATTTAGAAGTTTCCATGCTTTAAACAAGACTCTCAAAGGGAGAAAGCTACTGATAGCAAGTAGCTTTGCCAAAAAAGGAAATGCAGCTTCCCTTAATTGCCTCAACCAGTAATAAATAAACATGAGGCCAAAGTCACCCAGGGACTTCTTGTGTTTCAGGAGGGTTCTTAGGATGAAAGACAGGTGGGTTGCTGCCAGTTCGGCCTGGTTTGACCAAACCGGTAGTGGCAGTGGCGGACGGCTCAGCCCAGATACTTCTGCACATGTGCAAAGGCATTGCGCATGCAAGCGCATACACATGCATGAGCAAACTGATAGTAAACCAATTAGCAACCCACCACTGGTGAAATTGAAACAATGGTCAATTCAGGTGGTGGGATAAAAAAATCTAATCAACCAATCAATCACAGAAAAGGTGTTTTATTTCCAGGAGTATGTATAGTGAAAAATCTTTGGGTCATATTGGTAATGAAACTCATAAAACTTAAATCTTTGGGAAAAATCTACTCTAAAAATAGGTGATAAAATGTTCTATTGGAAAACTGGAGCAGAAGCTTTTGTGATTTTAAACTAATAATGGTTGTTTTAAGGATTTATCCTGACTTCAAATTAGATTTGGTCTTCCAATTCACAACAGTGGTGGTATGTTTCAACTTAAGCATGTCCTAATGGATCCATGTACACCAGATGGTTTGGCTGCTCCAAAGGCATCTGAGATACTCAATTATTTGAAGGAATCCATGGCAGAAGTACAATTTGTAACGTATCTCTATTTAAAGTTTAAGTATATTTTTAAAATAGAACTCTTGAGATATTCAAAAAGTGGACTCAAGAATAAAAATCTTGGCTAATAAAGATTAGAAACAATGTACAATGTACTTACAAACTTTAAAATGTATCAATATATTTGAGATTGATTCATCAAAAACTTGTATTATGACCATATTGGACTCCCTAAGCAATGTGCTTAAAAGAATAATCAACTTTCTTTGTTGTAGGTATAAAAAAAATTGAGGAATCATTGATCCATATTGTGGGGTTATATGATCATCTGGTATCTTTTTGGAATAATATTTTATTGTATATAAAAAGTGGAATGGTATTTTAATATACACTATATTGCCAAAAGTATTTGCTCACCTGCCTTTACTTGCATATGAACTTACTGTAAGTGACATCCCATTCCTAATCCATAGGGTTCAATATGACGTTGGTCCACCCTTTGCAGCTATAACAGCTTCAACTCTTCTGGGAAGGCTGTCCACAAGGTTTAGGAGTGTGTTTATGGGAATTTTTGACCATTCTTCCAGAAGCGCATTTGTGAGGTCACACACTGATGTTGGACAAGTTTACGTGGCCTATCACTTTGTGGCTGAGTTGCTATCATTCCCAAACATTCTTATAATACACCTGACAGTTGACTGTGGAATATTTAGGAGCGAGGAAATTTCACAACTGGATTTGTTGCACAGGTGGCATCCTATAACAGTTCCACGCTGGAATTCACTGAGCTTCTGAGAGCGACCCATCCTTTCACAAATGTTTGTAAAAACAGTCTGCATGCCTATACATCTGTGGCCATGGAAGTGATTGGAACACCTGATTCTGATAATTTGGATGAGTGAGCGAATACTTTTGGCAATATAATATACATAAAAGTACATTAATATACATGTCATTATGTAAAATGGTTACACAATGTGCTAAATAATAAAATAAAATAAAAAAAATAAAATCAGATTTATGGAAAAATCCTAATATGTTAATGTGATGTTGAAATCAATATGAAACTTTTGGAATTATCTAGGATGTTTTGATTGTCCAACTTTGAATGAGAATATTCAATGATGTAGCAGTAGCAACTGTCACTACTTATTCATTCTCATGGTCCCGGAATTCCTCTTTATTTAGAATGTGGATTTCCTTTGCTAAAGCTGCCATCCATTAGTAGCTGTCCTATGCTTGAACACTATAGAGTTGCTGCATTTGTTTCTGCAAAAGTCTTTCTGCTGAGCATCTTTGTCTTTTATTACCCTGGAGCTTCCCGATAGACTGTCCTATCTCCTTCTTGACACTGTGTTATTTCCCATGAATACAGACTTCCCAGAATAACTGAGCCCACTTTCTGCCTCAAGCTGTCTAATGTCTAACTGTGACAGACAAACAAGATAAATGAAGCTTAGGCTCCAATCTTAAACTTAATTCAGAACCAACTTCAGTGCTTCCCCATTAATAATAACTGAAAAGCACAACATATCAGCTGCTGTTTTCCCTGTCGCTTATATTTTTTTTAATCAATTTTATTCTGCATTCCATGACAAGACATTTGAAGTGGAGCTGAATTTTCAGGAATTGTAGTTGACTTATATAACACATGCCAAATTGAACAAAAACTTCTTTTAAAGAGCTGCCAATATCATTTTTATTTCCTTGCAAAATTGGAAATAATTTTGGGCATAGTTGCCTCTTACAAGAAATAAGTCCTGCCAAGTTTTCAGATGATAACGTCCAACAATTTTATACTATTTTTTCAGCAACTACCAAATAACCAAAATGAAATTGTGAAAAAAGTTCTTCACTTTCACAGTATTTTTATTTAATAAATATATGTTTATTGACGTAATCGTTTCATTTTCCTCATTTTGGACTCACTAGCAATTTTTTAATCAGTTATATGAAAAAAAACTGTTATGGCTCTTCAACTAATGAATTAGTCCTCATGTAGCACTTAAATGATTTCTGCTTAAAATAATGTTCTTCCCTTTTCCCAGGCTCTTTTGATAATGGCATTAAACAATTTGCATTCATTTCAAAATAGTATTTTATCATGACAACACAAGATAGAGGAGAGCCTCCGAGGACAGCATCATAATGCCTTCTAAAAAAATTAAGATTTTTTAAAAAATCAAGTTGTTCATTATCATTATTTATAAATTAGAAGATGGTCGAGTTCTAGAAACTGACAGACTACTAAAAAAAACCCTGAGAAAAACAGAATAAAAGTTACTGTAACGTAAGAAGTACATTTCTAAAATTGGAACTTACCAACTTCATATACATTTTTGTTAGACGAAACAGAGTTATTAATTTCTGCATAGGCAGAATCCCTGTGTGCTGGTGATTTCATTTCAACATATCCACATTCTGAATTTTTTGGCATAAGTGCTGGTGGATCTTTAATAGTAGCATATGGATTTTCAGAGCTACTTAAGGAACAGTTACTTAAATTATATTCAGAATTCTTTATTAGATCTAAGAAAACACAAAAATGATAATTTAATGGTAATATAGAATGACAACGAATAACAAAGTAGAATTATTGTTTGAAATGTTTTGGTTATTTGCAAAGTTTCTATTTTTAGTGCAATGTATACAGCAATAACACTGAAACAAATCAGCAAATTAATTCATGCTAAGCCAATGATTTCTTCTGCATTGTTTCAACTATTCACAGTGAATTTAATGAAAATGAAAGTCCTTGGAATAGTAGCCGATATAAACTTGATATAAATCAGTATCATGATGAGGCTGTAGAAAAAAAGCCAACATTGTTTTAGGCTGCATCTACAAAAATATAGTTTCTGAATCATGTGGATTAGTATTTCCACTTTACTATTGCAATGAATTCTGGGCATGTTTCCAGCATTTAGATAAAATTGAAGAGATTCAGAGAATAAGGAAGAAAAACTAAACCTTGTGAAGGGAGGTTGAAGAAGATCAGAATGCTTAGCCTCAGTGTAGGTCATAGGATAATGAAGATTCATAGTTTTTGCTGGCAAAACCAAAAAGTGTAACTAAAGAGATGATGGGCTAACATTCCTTGGGAGCAGGGGTGGTGCAACTGTATATGAGAGTGGTTTAATAAGGATTTCTTGGCTGAGCAATAACCAAAAAGGTTGTAACTCTGTTAAATAAAATGATAGGTGGAAAGCAGGGGTAGATTCCGGCAGTTTACTCATGCCACACACGTGTCCTTTGCACATGCGTGCACATGCACACTACAACTAAAATTGATGTGCGCATGCACAGTACAACTAAAATTGTTATGTACATGCGCAGAAGCAAAAAACAAGATGGTGGCGCCTATGGCAGCGCCAAGAGAACCGGTTTGGTGGTATGGCAAGCCTGGGTCACTGCCGGTTCCAGCGACCCAGGTGGCCAAGCAACTACCAGTTCGGTCAAACTGGTCCGAACTGGTAGGAACCCACCACTGGTGGAAAGATGCTCAAAAGGCCTAAGGGAAAAACCTATTTTTGTATTATTTTTCTTTAAGTTCAGGTGTAATGCAACATATTAAAAAACTTTACAGAGTATCAAAACATACAAACAGTCCTTGACTTATGGCCACAATTGAGCCCAAAATTTTTATTGCTAAGCGAGATAGTTGAGATAATGAATTTTGCCCCATTTTATGATCTTTCTTGCCACAGCTGATAAGTGACTCACTGCAGTTGCTAAGTTAGTAATACAATTGTTAAGTGAACCTGAATCCCTTCTGTCAGAAGATTGCAAAAGGTGACCACATGAACCAAGACACTTCAACCGTCATAAATATAAGTTAGTTGCCAAGTGTCCAACTTTGGTTCCCACATGACCATGGGGATGCTGCAACTGTCATAAGTGTGAAAAATAGTCACAAGTTACTTTTTTCAATGTTGTAAACTTTGAATGGTCACTAAATGAAAGAGTGTAAGTTGAGGGCTACCTGTGTTTTTGAGGTTCAGGAATTAACATATTCTCAGAATTAATTTATAGTTCCTATATATTTTTATGGATTCTATCCAGAACAGAATCAGGTCCAGGGATGCCTAACTTCAAGAAATCTGCCATATGCCGATGTATTTTATTTTGGGGAAATGTCATACTCACCTTTCAAGGATTTCCCCAAACAGCTTCTGTCAGCTCCAAAAACTCCTGTCAATAATGGACAAGAAGAGAATCTAAATATATTACTAGTCTCTTCTGCTGGGAAGAGTTATATCCATTGCACTAATTGTTCCTAATTTCTAAACTCTATTGTATCAGGTTCGGAACAGTCTGTTTTCATGTTCCTACCTAATTCATTGTGGTAGCCTCCATGCTTCCAATCAGCTGGCAATGTCCCTGTGTAATCCATAATGGGAGCACGCTTCTGGGGATCCATGTTTTTAAGATTCACAAATAGTTGGTTCTTGATTGACTGTTTCAAATTAAAAAGAAGGTAAATAATGATATATTTCAGTGTATAGAAGGCAACTAAAAGTGTGGTGTTTTACAAGTATAGTCTTTTTTGAGAGAGGCAGTTCATACGCCCACGTAGCACAAAATATGCAGCCTTTTTATTTTCTTACCTTTGACAGAGTCATCCTATTCCTGTTGTTGGCATTTGCTGTATTTGAGCATTGTGTTAGAGTGTGATAGCTGGGGTTGGAGAAGTAGTGAGTATTAGTGTTTCCACCATTATTATGAGTAACAGTTTCTGAAAAGAAAAAATAATCTTTATCATTACCCATCCTTGGCTTTATATTGTAATTCTTAAGAACTATCAAACAACTTTCCTAGAATTAAAGCACAGATTAAGGATGATTTATATCATTGCTTTGCAATACTTTTTCATTCCCAAATTATTATTATTATTATTTTTAAAAAATATTTTATTTTGATTCAAACATCATCTTTCATTAAACAGTGTGTTATCTGGGTACAAATATTTTGTGCAAACATTTTATACGATAACAATTACAATTTACAGCCATATTTATTATTTTATCTATAACTTAATACTAATATTGTACCTAATACTATAACAATCCTCTTCTTATTTAACTTTGTTAAAACATTTTCTTATTTCACTCATCTGCTTTTCTCCACTTTTCATATTTATTCTCTAACTATTGATAAAATAATTCCCATATGTTATAATAATAAGATTGTTCTTTTTCTTTGATTTCAAGTGTTAACCTATTCATTTCTGCACATTCTAATATTTTTCGTAATCACATTCTCATCCATAGGAATCTCTTCATTTTTCCAATTTTGTGCAAATACAATTCCAGCTGCAGTTATTACGTGAATTATCCAGGGGTGAAATTCAGCAGATTCTGTCAGGTTCTGGAGAACTGGTAACAGAAATTTTGAGTATTAGGAGAACCAGCAAATACCACTGCTGGCTGACCCCAGAGTGGCATGGAAATGGAGATTTTGCAATATCCTTCCCCAAGGAGTAGCGAGGGAATGGGAATTTTGCAGTATCCTCTCCCTGGAGTGGGGTAAGAATGAAGATTTTGCAGTATCCTTATCCTGCCACACCCATCAAGCCATGGCCACAGAACCAGTAGTAAAAAAAAAATTGAATTCACCACTGGAATTATCAAACATACATTTTCTTTACTGTAAGTTTCTGGTAGAATCATTCATTCCTAAATTAATCTTCTGAACTTAGTTTAGTCTTTTCCTCAAATACATTAGGACATCAATTAATATTTCACAGTTTTATGAAAATAAAACTGTGCATCTCTCTCTGCACTCTATTTTTTTTAATTAATTCAAATTATTGCTGGCCTTTCAGCGCTTTTATGTGGATGTTTCAAATGTAGCTTATTACCAAAATGAAATATAATTGTTTTTTCAGGCTCTATAAAGGTCAAAGCAGATATAATATTCTGCTATACATATAATTTGCAATGTAATACATCCATTCCTTTCCCACACCCACATATCAATTTCTTTTTAAATAACAAGTAATAAATTCATTAGCAAGAACAATGAATGTTAATCTGTTTGGTTTCCCCATACGTTACTGAAATAACTGTCTATAAATTGTCCTGATAAAGCAAGACAAGTAACTAATTTTTTTCCAAATATTATTGGATTCCCATCATTGTTTCATAGTAGCCATTCTTGCTAGATGAGAACTGGAATTCAACAACATCTTGAAGATCAAATATTGCTTGGTTAAAGACATTACATTACTTTGGACTACAACTAAGCAATGTACAGAAAGTTAGTGGTTAACAAGTGCTAAATAATCTCAACTATAAAATGCTGTACTGAGGGTATAGAAAGAATTTTAGATTTTCATTTTTCTTCATAGTACTGTGGTCTATCTATATAGCCACTAGGAGTCGAAAACATCTTAATGGAACATAATCAACCAATCAATCAAAGCAAAATATTCTGTTCCTATAAAATTTTCTAACAATGTACAAAGCCCTTAACTACTGGAACAATTTTTAAAATTTTCTTTGATATAATTATGTCTAAGAGATGTATGTCTATGGCAATTCTCAGTCATCCAGGTCATGGTTTTCCCAAAGGTACTTTTTAAAGAACTGGACCTTTTAGTTTTTTTTTCTTTGAAGATGTTTCACTTCTCATCCAAGAAGCTTCTTCAGCTCAGAAGCTCAGAGCTGAAGAAGCTTCTTGGATGAGAAGCGAAATGTCTTCAAAGAAAAACCAGAAAGTCTATATGTCTAACAGGGATAGAATTAATGCTTGCAGTACTGTATTTTTACCTGAAATTGTATAATCTGCATTGATAACTCTCATGGCAGGTGTATAGGTAACTGCTGGCATATTTGTTTCTTTCCCTTTCTGCTTTTGTCTATAAATAATGAACAATGCAAGCAGAAAAAGAACAACAAGGACAAGAATTATGATTCCAGCAATGGCTCCAATTTGGTAAGAATCAGATGGGATGGCAGCGCTAGTACGGCTTAAACTGTTCAGGTTTCCTACAATGATCACCCCTGCTGCAAAAACAAGAAAAGAAAAAGAAAAGAAATGAAAAAGGCAGTCATAAACACATAAAAAGTCCTATGTGCATATTTTTATTTGGATTGCCTAAGCCTGAACAATATACAGTATACTAGAAGCATATGACATGTTTTGAAATATTGTTCAATCTCAACTCTGTTGTAGTCTACTGGCAGCATTCTGACACTATTGCAATCCCCCCCCCCATCTGAGTTAGAACATACTATTAGGAAATGGGTACATTTCCTATAAGTTTAGAAATAAATTTTAGAATGGCTATTCTAAGGTGGAAATAGGGCATTTGGGGACCATCACATTTCAATCTCAAAATGTTTTGAAAATGTCTAATATACATTATTTTATAAATGGTTTAAGTATGCTTGAAAATGGATAAGGAACCCGGTACTCAGACTTTTTTAAAAAAATATGCCGTCACATAACAATTACATTGCATTAGCGAGTAATATATTTTAAAGAGTTCCTTTAAAAAACCTGGTTCTTTAAAAAGTCACTTCACAGAGATTAGTACAGTAGTTAAAGCACTGGAATAGAATTGGACTCAAATTTCCAGTCAGCAATAAAGCTTTAGAGACTGTAGAATAATCAATTACCAGCAGTGTTATTATCTAGCTTTCTGATTTGAGGTTCATCCAAACCAATTTTAGTTCCCCCCCCCCAAAAAAAAGAAATCAGTTGGCCAGACACTGCTGGAACTTGACAACCTAAGTATTGCTGATTAATCTCTACATCAACAGCAGTGGTGGATTCCTACCATTTCGGGCCGGTTTGGCCGAACCAGTAGTGGTTTGGCCGCCTGGATCACTGGAACTGGCAGTGACCCAAGCCTGCCACGCCCGCGAACCGGTTCTCCTGGCGGCGCCATACTTGCTGCCATCTTATTTTTTGATTCTGCGCATGCGCAGAGCATTTTTTTTATTGCACTGTGCATTCACGCGCAGTACACATCAAGCGTGCATATACCCACAAGTGAACCAGCAGTAGCTGGAACCCACCCCTGAGCAACAGGTCTTGGCATTATCCAGAATGTCTACACAATCCTTGCCACTATGGCTAACACATATCTTCCTCTGCTCAATTCAGCCATTTTGGAGGCAGTGAGTCTGTGAAGTGAAAGGGAAGCAGCATAAAAGAAAGAAGGAAAATGTGGGTCTATGGCTTGAAGGTGCTTGCCCAACACCTTTGTGTCTTCTTCTCTGTCCATCTTCTGTTGGGGATCTGCAATCAAACTTGTCACACTATGTCTTGGCCAGTGGAAAAATCTGATTGGCAGACATGGAAATGTTACTTAGATCAAATAGGTAGATGTTTAATTTTTAATCCTGAACCAATTTAGTTCAGATCAAGTCCTCTTAATGTAAAACAGTTTTCTTTTGACTAAACTTACATTAGATTGTGATTAATCATGCTTAGGTAGGTGCCATGTAAAAGATAAGGAATTGTGTCTGATTATGCATACATCGAATGGGAGCGAAATTCTTACAAGCTTCACATATTGTGAAATTAAAACTCTCAGCATTCTTCATCAATGTCTAGTATTCTAACTTGAAAACTTAAATAGCAAAAGCAGCCACACAAATGTACTCTGGGAGGCAGTCATGTCACCTTTTTAATGAGCAATTTTTAGAAAATATTACCTTGGTCACATCTTGCTCCTTTCCAGCCAGGGCTACAGTAACAGGTTCCAGTGATATGATCACAAGTTGCGTTGTTCAGGCAATCACATATTTGCCGACAACCATAACCATAAGTACCCGGGGGACATTCTTTAGAAAGCAAGAAAAAGCACATAGAGGATTTACTTTATTACTTTATTTAAGAGCCGCACTGGTGCAGTGGTTAGAGTACAGTACTTCAGGCTACTTCTGCTGCCAGCAGTTTGGCAGATCGAATCTCACCAGGCCCAAGGTTGACTCAGCCTTCCATCCTTCTGAGGTGGGTAAAATGAGGACGCAGATTGTTGGGGACAATATGCTAACTCTGTAAACCGCTTAGAGAGGGCTGTAAAGCACTGTGAAGCGGTATATAGTCTAAGTGCTATTGCTATTATTCTAATTTGCAGTCAGATTCATAAACTAGCCATAAGTGACTATGAGCAACTTAGAGTAAAACTGGGACTTCCAAATTCTTAGTAATGAAGAGTGAAGATTTTCTATGTTAATGGATATCCATTCATTAGCAGGGCAGGAAAGATTCCATTTTCCATTCAACATGTCTTTCCCTACCATTTATGAAAAGTAGGCCTTAAATGAATTGAGGGTATGTAGGAGGAAGGAGGAAGGAAATCCCTATTTCATGATAGGAAGTTTTCCTGTAACACAAAGTCACGAATGTACATTTACACTACTGTAGCCGGATTAGTTTATAAGTTTTTTTGAAGCTCTATGAATAAATTCTTATTGCCTGCAGATGCAACAAGTTACCACCAGATGGCGAGATTTCACAAGAAGATTTTAAATCTAAGCCATAACCTGATGTGCTGAAAGATGATTATAAATGCAATCAAATACAATTTAAAATAAATACATGTACAATGTAGTATTCACTCAATAAAAGATAATGTTATCACCAGTTTTTTAAAAAGGCTCCACAGAAAATCAAGTTGCTAAAATTGTTGGGAAACCATTTGTTTCCCAACCAATAGAAATCAAACCCTCGGAATAAGTTATGTGATGTTTTACAGATATTATAAAAATATGCATGTTGAGTAATTGCATTAATTGAAGTTAAAATGTAGTTTCCAGGGTATTAACTGTAAACATTTTTTTCTAGAAGAAAAATGTTTAAGGGGAAAATACTAGTAAAATGTTTCTCATAATATGCCAAAGCCAACTATAATATTCAGAACATATACCAAGTTTTTAGAGGAAAAGGAAAAGAAAATTGTAGATTGTTTTTGAACTGATGAAATATTATTGAAAGTAAACAATGCAAACATCCATCTTAATCCTCCTATTTACATTACATTCTATTGATTTCAATGAAATGTGGATGCCAGTGACTTTGTTTAGAATTGCACTTTAAGGAGCTAACTATGTACTCTTAATCCCACCAAATTCAGTGAAAATCATGACTTAAGATCAAACTTTAAGTACCATCACATTGGATTGAATTCAGGATGTGTACATTATGGTTCATAATGTATTAAGAAGAGGTGGGTTTCACATAATGTTACCACCAGTTCGCCACACATCAAAACTGTATGTGAGAGAGAGTGCAAGCTCGCTTCATGAGACCATGCGCCTTCTGTGCATGCACATGGCCTTCCGTGCATGGGCTTTGTTCATGCAATGCAGCTTGCATGCATGCACACGGCTTAGAAAACATGGCTAAATAGGATGCCATAGAGGCCGGGCAGGTGGGCAGGTGAGTGGCACTCGCAGATGGCCACTACCGGTTCACCGGAACCAGTCCGAACAGGCTGAATACCACCATTGGTATTAAGTGCCATTGCCTTTATCTTATCCATTTAGGTATCCGTGTAAAATTTTATTATAGTCAGCCTAATCTAAATAAGAAAAAAGAGCTAAGTTGATTTTAATTATACATACATCTTCTCTTAACAATGTGTAAGAAAAGTTTCCAACTCACTCTGTTCACAGTATTTCCCCATGAATCCTGTGCGACATGTACATTGGCCTGATATGTGATCACAGTCAGCTCCATTCTCACACTGGCATATTGAAGCACAGTCTATCCCAAAAAAACCCAGCGGACATCCTTGAAGAAGAAGAGCGTAAGAAAATAAAATGAAGCAGCTTATGTTCAGTAACCGCCACTCTGAAGCAAATAACCTAAGTATCTCTAAAAATACACAATTCATAATCTAAAGAAAAGATAAAACATTATTATCCTTAAAAGTGTTTATCATTGAAATAGCTCTCTAATAAATAGTCCTCTAATAAAAATTCCTGAACTTCCATAGTAGGATCTTCATAGGGTATAATTCTGAATAAGTTGTATAAACTATGTTCTAAATCTCATTACTATGAAAGAAATACACTAGATTTTGAAAAAAAAACTATTTTTGCATATATTCTAGAGAATCCAGAGTTATGAAACAACAAAATAACATCAGAGCAGAAAAGAACAGAAGCTTAAATAGTAATGATTCCAGTAACCATGAGTAACAGTATGCATTTCTTCCTAAAATTATGTAATTTTGGTGCAATGTAAATATATTGTTGTTGTTGTTTGTGGTTAATCTTTGGTGAGATTCACAGCCTTTGGGGCTGGTTGGTAGCTCAACAGCTCGAGTCCTAACCAAGGACCTAGGAACTGTTAAGGTAACGTTGGAGGATATAAGCTGTACCAAGTAGGGTTGTAGTAGTAGTAGTAGTAGTAGTAGTAGTAGTAGTAGTAGTAGTAGTAGTAGTAGTAGTAGTAGTA